TATTTATTTGACAGAGAGAGAGATAGCTAGAGCAGGAACACAAGGCAGGGGGAGTGGGAGAGGGAGAGGCAGGCCTCCCGCTGAGCAGGGAGCCCGATGCGGGACTCGATCCCAGGACCCCAGGATCATGACCTGAGCCGAAGGCAGACGCTTAACGACTGAGCCACCCAGGCGCCCTGTAATTATTATTTGAAATCATTACGACACTGTATGTTGTGCGATTCCAAAATCTGAAATAGAATTATCTTCCGGACAATAAAATATTAACTTACCATATTGAAGTATAATGCCCAACTCATCCTAAATTGACTGGTGCATTCGTTCAACAAATATCTGATTGCCACTCGTGTGCTAGGCACTCTCTGGGACTTAGCATACTTCAGTGACCCAAACAGGCAAAGATCCCTTTCATGATTAAGAATTGCAGGTGGTCACACTCGCTCTTAGAGCTTTGTGAAAGCCAGAGAAGAGAAGATACGCAGTTAACATAAGTAAGGAAGTGCCATCATCATAAGGATGTCGCAAGTGTTCTGGAAGAAGTGAGCTGGGTTAGGGAATCAGAAGTGCCAGGGGTTAGGGGTCAGGCCTGGTGCATCCTAAGCAGGGTGGGTGGAGAAAGACCTCACTGGACCGGCGACAAAGAAAGCCTTGAAGGAGGCTTGGGGTTGGTCCTACAGTTATTTGAGGGAAGGTGGGATAGAGATAGAAGGAATGGGCACACAAAGGAGTGGAAGTGGGGCCATGCCCGCTGTGCTCTGAGAGCCGTAAGTGGCCAGTGTGGCTGGAGAAGGGGAGCAGAGGAGAGGAGAGGGTGGGCTCAGAGAAGTGATGAGGCCAGGCCCTCCTAGGCCTTGAGGCCTTTTACTCCAGGGCAAGGCAGTAAGACTCAGCAGAGGAGTGAGCTTCCCTGACTTACATTTTCAAAGAATAACTTTAGTGTCTGTGTTGGGAACCCACCATCAGGGGTGGGGACACAGAAGCCCCGTGAGGAGGCTGTTGCAGCAATGTAGGGGAGGGGTGATGGTGGTTGCATTTAGACCAGAGGGTACTAGTTAAAGGGAGAGACTAGAGGGCGAAACTGTCCTGAAGGGGGAGCCACTGTAGAGGACTGCAGTGTGAGGAAGGACAAGCTGAGGGCGATGCCTGGTGCTGGCCTGAGTCCCTTGCAGGTGCTCCCAGCTGAGAAGAGGAGGGCAACAGGCAGAGCAGACTGGAGGGGGAGATGGAACTGGGGGCTCAGTTTTGGACGTGGGCCTCGAGATGACTCTTGGATACCCAGGTAGGCCTGGGACGTGGACAGTTAGATACATGAGCCTGGCGTTCAGGAGAGAGGTCTGGGTGAGAGGTATGAATTTGAGAGTTGACGGTCTGTGGATGGTGTTTAAAGTATTGAGACCAGAGACCAGAGGAGATCACCAAGACTGTGATAGTCAGAGAAGAGAAAGAGGCCAAGGACCGAGCATTGAGTTGGGGAGAGGAGCAGGGCACGACCAGCCAGGACCGTAGGACAGGCCATTGGATTTAGCGACACGCAAGTAAGTCGTCGGGGGCTTTGGCGAGGACAGTGCGGAGTGGTGGGGCACAAGCCCCATGGAAGAGGGCTTCAAAGAAAATGGGAGAAGAATTGGAGATGCCAAGTATAGACGCCTCTTCGGGGAGTTTTGCTTGCAAAGAGAGCAAGAATATGGGGCATAGCTGGTGGGGGCAGAAGGTCAAACATTTTCTTAACATGAGAGAAGTAACAGCATGGTTTCTATATTGGTAAGTATGACCCAATAGCAAGAAAGAAAGAAAAAGAGAGAGGGAAGGAGGGAGATTTCGGAGAATTTGAATATTTGAGATTCTACTTACTATGATATAAAAATTGTTTTAACTTGAAATACATCATGTTGATAGGTTTTTTTTTTTTGAAAACTTCTAAGTTCCATTATATGTTTGCTTTTTTTTACAAGATACCTTATAAATATTTAGAGAAAACAAGTTATCTTTTTTTTTATTTTAGCCAGTGCAGTAACTAAGTAGTAAGTTATACTGTTTCATATAAATATAAGAGTTTAGTAACCATAAAGGAATTTTGGGTGATTTTTATGTGTACATGGCTGATCTTTTTTTCCCCCAGGTATTTGGTTATGGAATTAATGGATGCTAACTTATGTCAGGTTATTCACATGGAGTTGGACCATGAAAGGATGTCCTACCTTCTTTACCAGATGCTCTGTGGTATTAAACATCTGCATTCAGCTGGTATCATTCATAGAGTAAGTAGAGACGCCACGTCAGTTTTATTTTTAAAATCACAATCATTTTCTTATCATGATTCTCCAGGTACAGAAGAACTTAATATTTTTTAAAAAGTTGCCAGTATCAAGAATCCAAGGAAATGATGGGATCGTGTTGAGTTCCCAAATGCCATTGAGATTAGAAGACATTTGTGGAGCGCCTCGTTTGCCCGAGCCCACACGAGCCACTCTGGATGCAGGCTTGAGCTGCTCGGTTTGATGCTGCAGAAGGAAACTTATTTTTTTTTTAACCTTTCATTTTGAAGTAACTTAAAATTTAAAAGTTACAAGAATAGAGCAGAGAACTCCCAAATGTTATTTACCCAGAATCATCTATTTGTTAATTGCTAATATATTTGCCGTATTTGAAATCGCATTTTTAATGAGGCAGGAATTTAGGTTTGGGGTGGGGAAAAGTTAGAGGCTACGTAGTAAATGATACCGTTGCTTGCGAAATCATACATAAACTATGGCCCAAATATCTATTTCTTAGAATCGTGAAGTTGGCCACTCCAGCATCCCGGCCCCCCTGGTGGGAACTTTTGGAATGGTCCTGGGTGGGCGTCTTGAGCCACTAAACTGGGATTTGAATGACCGAGTTGCCTGTACTCCGTCAGGAAGCAACATTTAGAAACCAGTGAGATACAGTGTAATTCTCCAAGCTGGTTTTATGAGTTTTTGTTTATTTTTTGACTTGTATCACTGTGCGAGCAGAACGTCACGATAGAATTTTCTTTGACAACTAAAATGTTGAGTGAGACTACAGGCAGAGATAATAGAATTGTGTTGGAAACATTCTTAGCATTCCCTAAATTATTACCATACTGATTTTGTCGACAGACTGTCTTTAGATATTATAGTCCAACATCAAGAAGTTGTCATTTCTCTGAACCACAGTCTGTGTGGGCAGAAAGATAGTGAGACCAGAACAATGATGCCTATTCATAGAGAAAAGAATAGAGAGATTTTCGATGCTGCAGTAGATCTGTTAGGTGCCAGGAAATGTTGGGCACAACCACACAGCGCGCCAATCCAGAGAGGAGCCAGCTGCCCTTGCCCCTGGCCATGAGCCTCAGGTCTGGGACCCCAAAGCCCGCAGGCCTGGGCGGCATACCTGGGGCCGTGCACACCAGTAAGCACCCAGCTCCTGATCCTGTGCGGTTACTTAAAATACGGCCTTTGCTGCCACCAGGTGTCCGTTAAAATAATATAAATTCTGTTGACAAATTTGCTTTTAAAATAATGCTGTTCATTTTTTTCTTTAGTTTTTATGTAAATTCCAGTTAGTTCGCATACAGTGTAATATTAGTTTCAGGCGTACAATCGTGATGCAACACTTCCATACACCACCCAGTGCTCATCACAGGTGCCCTCCTTCCTCCCCATCACCTGTTTCCCACATCCCCCCCACCCACCTCCTCTCTGGTGACCAGCAGTTTATTCTCTTATAGTTAAGAGTCTGTTTTTTGGTTTGTCTCGCCCTCTTTTTTTTTCCATTTGCTCATTTGTTTCTTAAATTCCACAAATGAGTGAAATCATATGGTATTTGTCTTTCTCTGAGTGACTTCTTTCACTTAGCATAATAATACCCATTTTTTTAAATTAAAAATAAACATTTCCCAACATATCATTCTGTTTCTCTTTCGAAAATTTTCACAGGCCATTATATAAATTAAGACACTCTTCCTAGCTCTTAAATACGTTTTGTGTTACATTCACGCTTTAGAATAAGTTTCCAGCCTTATTATTATTAGGCCTGATTATGTTAAGCCTTATCAGTTTTGTAAAGGAAAGTGGTTTGTCTTACTTATTTCTCCCTTCTTGGGCCCAGAGACTTGTGGGGAAGCAATATCCTGCCGTTGCTGGGGACCTTTTCAGGGATACAGCACACGTGCCCATGTTAGGGAATATTCGGTCCCAAGCTTGGTCCCACTCCTGCTGACCAGAATGTCAAAGAGAGTCCAAAGGGGTGTCTGCTTTGCCCAGCACACCGGAACAAATGATCCACGGACCCCTTCTCCATCCTGTCCACCACCCCACCAGGCCTTGCCACTCCCCCTTCTTGTCTTCTACCCGTACACACATTCGTGGGCCTGCCAGGCTTTGTGCTTACTCGTGAAAGTACCACATGCTGGTTGTGGGAAAGGGAGATAGAGCGAATAGCGAGAGGCCTCCGTTGGCGCACCCCACCCACCCGGCCAGGGCCCAAGAGGTGATGAGCCGTAAGAGCCCGTTAGTGGGTGGACGGTTGTCCGTGAGCCTTTCCAGTCCTTTCTCCCATATACAACGCCATGCACAAAAAACACACTTTCAGTTTTGCTTATTAAGATGCTTTCATACTGAACATAAAATTTAATTATTTGAAAAATAAAACACCAATAGTCTCACCACTTTTTCCCTTATATGATTCAAAAACTTAAAAGAAGAGAAAGTCCTCCAGCTCTCTGCTGTTGCCTGGGGGTGGCCGGTGATAGCAGCTGGGTATGTCCTCCCAAACTTCACAGTGACTGCGCTACAACCAACATATCTGTGTGTACCTATGTCCTTTTCAATTTATACTTTTCAAATAGGGGGTCCCCTTGTTTGTAATTGTTCTGCGACTCACTGAGCAAGTTGGTGGATTTGTTCCTTATTTTAATCAAGGATCAAATAGCTCTACAAATATTTATTTAAACCACAGAGTCCCCACGTCCTCCTTCTAATTTCTCCCTCCCCAGAAGCAAACTCGGTTCTTTTAGCTGTTATTTTGGTGTTTATCCCCATCCCTTGAAGTAATATTAGATTTTTATCCATTGGCCTTTTTTTTTTTTCAGTTTGGGGCATAAGGTACCAATTTAGCTCCCTTTCCCCAACCCAGACCCTCCCTCCACCACGTTTCCTGTTCCCTGACCTCCAGGGATTTGCAGTGTCATCAGGTTTGGACCAGTGTGGATGGCGTGTTGTCTATCATCATGACACCTAAACGCTCTCCCCTGCACAGCCTTTTGTTTACACTATGATAGAATTTCTTTTCCCTTCAATGTTTTGTCCCTGGAGTTAATGCCACTTGTCATTTATTTGTTTGCATTGTGCTCTTCATTGTTTTGTTTTTCAAGGAGCAAGGAGATTTCTCTGCTCTCCTTGCTGAGTTAATGCAAAGCTTTCCGCCAGGCGTCTAGGTTTCCTCTCAGCGTGTGCAGGGGATGCACTGTTTCCTCGTCGGTGGGATCCCGCTCTTGGAGCCTCAGCGCTGCTCCCCAGCGGGACTGGCCGCCCCGTACCTGATGCAGATGGGTTATCCTGGGCCCGGCCCTGGCATTTCCCTGGGGCTCTCCTTAACCTGCTTCCAGACCTCTTTCTGTCTTTCTCAGTTTACTCCCTTGTTTTGGTGGGACGCATCCTCCAGCAGCTTCCCCAGAAGTGGTGCATGGGAGGCAAACTTTTTTGCGGCCTTGGACGCCTGAAACTCTTCGTTCTGCCCTGCCTGTCACGTGATTCATAGTTTGGTTGGATATAGAATTCTTAGTTATAAATGAGTTGCCCTCTGAGTTGTAAAGGCAGTACCCTGTTTTAGTGTGGTGTAGTTTGACTTTTGAGCTTTCTAATACCATTCTTATTCCTGATCCTTTGCAAGTGCCCTGTTGTGTTTTATCTCCAGAATCTTGTAAAAACGGTTCTTTATTTCTTGCATTCTGAAATGTTATGAAGATATGCCTTGATATGGAAATTTTTTCATTAATTGTGGTGGGCACTTGAGGCCCCTTCAGTCTGAAAGGCCATGGCATAGAGTTCTGGGAAATTTGTAATATTTCTTCCAGAATGCCCAGAATGCCTGGTGTCAGAGGCTGTATGTGGTGGGGTCGGGATGCAGTCCTCTGCTACAGAGCCCTGTCTTCAGGCTGGGCCTCTCACCCATGCCCTCCCTGTGCCTCGTACCAGCATATCTGTTGCTAATGTGCCTGAGGCCCGAGTCTGGAATCTCGATTTTAGTTTTTCTTTTTTTTTTTTTTTTTTTTTAAAGGTTTTTATTTATTTGACAGAGAGATAGAGAGCACAAGTAGGCAGAGTGGCAGTCAGAGGGAGAGAGAGAAGCAGGCCTCCCGCCGAGCAGGGAACCCGACGCGGGGCTCGATCCCAGGACCCCGGGACCATGACCCGAGCCGAAGGCAGCTGCCCAACCAACTGAGCCACCCAGGCGCCCCTCGATTTTAGTTTTTCTAGACTATATGGGCCTGTAGGAGTGAAGAAGGAGCCCAGCCAGGCCTTTCTTCTGGGGTGGAGCTGGGGAGGTCTGCCTTTACCTTTACGTGGACCTTCCCAGACCTCCCTCAGTGTCCCACCCCTGCTTCACCCTGAGCCTTTCCTGGGCGTCGTGTTTCCCCTTATCTTGCTCGGGCCACTCACCGAGGTTGGAATGTACTGCACTCAGCCAAGTCATTTCCTGCCTCTCTGCCGCTCTTTGTCCCCAGAGAGCGCGTGGGGCTTTTCATGGGCAGGATCGGCGTGCCAGGATGGGATTGGATGTGCGAGACCCGTAGTGGGAGGCGGCCTGTGAGGAAGGACCAAGGAGGGGTCTGCAGGGGGTGGAGAGGCAGGGGGAAGGCAGCAGGGGTCTGAGCCCTTGGAGGCGCTGAGGGCAGAGCCGCAGGCTGCGGTACATCTCTCAGAGAGCCTGGCCCACCGCACAATCCATGAGCCGCCCACCAGCGGGTGTCTCACAGGGATGGGCTCCTGCCCCACACCGCCACTGACCAAGAGCCACACGGGTCGGGAGGAGCTCCCCGGTGCTCCCCAAGGGGAGACTGAGAAGAGGGAGGCCACACGCCGTAGCTCCTGTCCCTGCAGTTGCTCCCGGGGCCACAACAGACGCTCACTCGCCCCTCTCCGCTGTTCGTGCCCTCGGCCGTCACCTTGGCAGGTCTCCATGCCATGTGACCCAGACCTTCATATCTGAGGAGTCAGACTCCGGCGGCTCGGGCGGGAACGGGGTCCACAGACCCAGCCACCTGGCAGTCATCTCCCCAGTCTCGTGAGCGTGTGACTGGGACAGGTACCCTTGGCAGTTGGAGTGACCCCTGTGCTGGTTCCTTGGCCTGCGATGGTGAAGGCCCCGAGGAAACATGAAACTGTCCCCTCAAGATAAGCCAGAAACACGATTGATCCCCGGGGGGGTGGCGAGGATAGAGGACTTAGTACCACCATCGAAACTCAAGGAGTGCGAGGACGGTGCTCCGTGTCGTAGCTCAGTTTGAGTCCCCAGTCCAGCGCTGGAGGAAACTAGGTGGTCCTGGGGAATGTGGACGACTGAGGCCGAAGCGGCTCGTAGTCCTGGTTGCAGCTGCTGTCCTGGCCGCGGTAGAAGTGCTAGAGTGGACTGGTAAGGCCTCCGTGCGGCGTGAAGCCGCTGACGGGGCGAATGCATTCTTCCGTTCTGGTTGGGGAGAGGGTCAGAAACCGTTCATGCACAGGTGGGACGGACAGCGGTGGGATGGGGTTCCACAGTGTGTCATCGTCACCCAGCTGGAATGATGGTGCTTGGGTCGTCGAGTTTCAGGGTCCACTCAGAGCTTGGGTCCCATAGTCCTCCAGACGACTGCTTAGCATCCTGTCGCAGGGTCCAGTCACCCAGGTGAGTGGCTGTGGGTACCTGTAGGGCAGAAGTGGGGAAATCAAAGCAGCGGATGCTTGTCACCATGTGCAGGGTCCTCCTTGCTAGGATGCCGCTTTAGTCAGTGGGCCCCGATCTGAGAACTGACTGGGGCCCTGGGCCCCTTGCTCCTCTGCTCTGGCCCTGCTTTGGCTACAGATGTTTCACACACTCTTGTCCGTGACAGGGACGCTGCGCTCTCGTAGCCATCCCCTCACTCTGTGGGTCAAGCCCCAAGTTCGCGTGTCCTTTGTATTTTAACGTCTATTTCTTGTTTTCCTTGTTGGGGGTGTTCTTCAAGCATTGAAGGGGCAGAACTGTCTTTCCTCGGCCACCTGGAAGCCCTAAGTCTAGTCTGTTTCAGAAAGCTGCCGGTGGCCGTGTGTGGAGGCTGAGGACAGAGCGCCGGGGAAGTGGGGAGCCCGCAGGAGCCCCGGGACCTTTTTCAGCCTCTCCTGTGGGCAGGCGCCCCGAGGCCAGCGCCTCTCCCTGGCCTGCGGGGGCCGCTGTCCACAGCGCAGACAGCCGGCTTTGCATTTTGTTATCACAGTTTTCCAGCAGATGGCAGTAGAGGGGGTTCTTCCAACCAAATCCAACCAAATCCAACTAAATCCAACCAAATCTGCACAGGAAGAGAATTTTCGGGCAGATGGAAGGGGCTGGAGATAGGCATGTGTTCTTTTTTTAAATTTTTTTTTTTTAAAGATTTTATTTATTTGCGAGAGAGAGAATGAGAGACAGAGAGCATGAGAGGGAGGAGAGTCAGAGGGAGAAGCAGACTCCCTGCTGAGCAGGGAGCCTGACGTGGGACTCGATCCCGGTACTCCAGGATCATGACCCGAGCCGAAGGCAGCCGCCCAACCAACTGAGCCACCCAGGCGCCCGATAGGCATGTGTTCTACCTCACTCTGCGGTTCACTGAGCCGGCCGGGGGCGAGCTGCTGTACTAACCCTTATCCCTGTGGCTTTAGATCAAGGCCAGGGTGGATTTCAGGGGCTGCTGGCTGGCAAAGTAGAGACATTTCAAATTTTTAAGAAATCGGCTTTCTCAAAAGAAAGCACCTATTGACATCCCAGCCAACAGCGTCAGGAAGGCTCTGTGTTGGCCAGCCCTGGATGTTGTCATTCTTTTCCTCATTGCCACACGGGGGACCAAAAATAGTTCCTTGTCATTTGGACATTTAAAAAAAAAACTTTTCTTCACAAAGTTGAGCATTATTTCACCTGTTAGCAATCTGTATTCTAACATGCCTATTCTTGCCATAGTCTTGGTTTTAAAAAAAGCTAGAAACAAATTGGTTCTTTGCCTTAGCTGCATGACTGCCTCCTCACAGGGCAGGGTCGCTGGTGTGCGTGAGGGGCTTATTGAGGGGTGGGGTGCTCCCCCGGGTTCCCCCACATCAGGACACATGTCTGAGAGGGTGGTGGCCAGCGAGGCCAGGGCATCTGCTTGGAAATCGGTTGGAATTTTCATTGCGTTTTTCACACTTTACATATTTCTGCCGAATCCAGGAAGGTGAGAACATTCAGCAGTAATGAAACATAACTTTAGCTGATGTAAGTTTTAACTGGAGGCACACCTGCATGCGCCCATCTGCGTGCGCCCTTGGAAAGTGTTAGTCAGGTGCTGGGCCTGACACCTCACACCGAGTCCTCCCAGGTCCGCCCGTGCTCGGCGTGACTTGTGAAGACAACAGACGGGGTAGCTGAGAAGGCAGTTTCCAGGGCGCGTGTGCAGGCTGCCATCCCAGGTGGAAGTCAGGTCCCTGTGGCCTGAGGAAGGGTCTGGGGACGAGAGGGTTGTCAGGGAGGAAACCGTGGAACTTGTGTTCACGTGTCCAGGGTGCGGGGTCGAGGGGCGGGTGACAAGTGTGTTCACGCTGTATCAGGCTGGGCTCTGAGAGCTGGGAGCACAGCCAGGGTCTCTGGTCACGGAAGTGGTGCTGGCAGGGGGGAGTGGGGGTGCCTCCCGGGTGGTGTGTGCGGTGGGTGGGCTTGGTGACCGTGGAATTCCTTTTCTGAGAGAAGAAGGCGCCCTTCGAAGATTGCCGAGTCGGAGAATTCTAGCCCCGTGCTGAGCGGTATGGCGGCCATGAGCCACATAGGGCCGTTGAGCACTCAGAATGTGGCTATGATTGTAAATACACAGTGGATTTCAAAGACGTTACCAAAAAGAGAACGTGAACTATCTCATTAATAAGTTCTCTATGTTGCTTCACATTGTAAAATGATAGTGTTATGGATATAATGGGTTTAATGAGATTATTAAAATTCACCTAATCTGTTCGTATTTATCCTTCCTAAGATGGCTACTCGAAAATGTAAATGACGTGTGTGGCCTGCATTATATTTCTGTGGGACAGCTGGGGACTGAAGGATGAGCCGGTGTGGAGGAGGGATAGGTGGGTTCTGTGGGAGCTCCGAGGAGATTTTAAACAAAGGGAGGCCGTGAAGTTCCCCACGTGGGGATGAGGGCGACCATCCGACTGCCTGAGGCTGATTTGTATTCGTTTCAATTTGAGAGTCGGGTTTTCCAAAATCCCAGCGTTCAGTTCTAACCTCCCTCGGTGTCCCAGGACTCAGGTACTTCTGCAGCCCCCAGCCTCACAAATCCCTACCAGTGCAAAGTTGTCCATTTAGCATGCTCTGGGTTGTTGCGCTCATTTAAACCATTTCTGCCCTAGGACTTGAAGCCTAGCAACATCGTAGTAAAATCAGACTGCACGCTTAAGATCCTTGACTTCGGCCTGGCCCGGACAGCATGCACCAACTTCATGATGACGCCGTACGTGGTGACGCGCTATTACCGGGCACCCGAAGTCATCCTGGGCATGGGCTACAAAGAGAACGGTGAGTGCAGGCGGCACTCCCGCGTGGCCGCAGCTCCCCACTAGCGTTGTCCCCTGAGCCACAGGAAACACCATGTGGGGACTGTGTCACACACAGGTCATCAGGGCCACAGACACGACATCATTAATCTCATATCTCCACTGGCAGAAGCCACCCACTTCTACAAATTCACTTTCAAAATGAATATGTTTGACCGTCTCTCCAAGTTTAACATACATGTTTGGAGAAGTGTGCAGACCCACCTCCCCAGGCCCCCTCCTCGGTCTCAGCCCCCAAAGGGAGCCATTATCCTGATTTCCGGTGCCAAAGCCTGGTTTTGCTTATTTTTGAACTTGGTAATAATTGAATAACACGTTCTCTTTTGTGAAAAACTGGGTTTTTAACATCAAAACTTAACTTACTCTAACAATATCAGAGCCCTTTTTTAACTTAGCCGCTGACAAATTTGTCGAAAAGAACTCAATCACAGTTACTTGCCAAGAGTCTGAAAGTTTGCACAGGTCATGTGGAATGTAACCAGTGCCCCCGCTCTGAGAGACGCCACTCTGTGGCTTCCTGCTGGCCCCATTGGCTCCTCCACCAGCACTAAGTATGGGCACTAAACAGCCCTCTGTCTGGCCATCGGGCCCCACGGAAGCCCAGACCAGCACACCTGCCCTGTAAGGTCCTGCCAGCATGGCAGTTTAGCAGAGGGTCGCTCAGCAAGTGTTGTGCCCATATTTTACGAAAGCTGGGTTTGTCTTTGTTGGGAGGGGGTTTGAGGAAGCTGCATGGGGGTCTCCGGCTGGTTTTAATCACCTGGTGTTTGGTAGTGGACATCTGGTCTGTCGGGTGCATCATGGCAGAAATGGTCCTCCATAAAGTCCTGTTCCCAGGAAGAGACTGTATCCTTCACAGGGAGAGCCCCAGCACCGGCCACGGGGGGTGGGGGGGAGCGGGGGGGGGCACGTGGCCTGCACACAGCTTTGTGGGGACAGGCACCTCTTCTCTCGGGGGTTTGTTTGTTTCTCAAGCTGTAAAGTCCTGGACTCTTGGGCACTAAAGCCCAGATTGCTGGAAGCCGAAGGCCACAGCGGAGGCCAGCAACCATTCGCACCGTGGAAAGAGCTCACCCTTAGCTAGCAATTTATTTTTCCATATTTGTGTGTTTAGTACACTGTTAGAATTCCTTTTCCTCACCTTTGTTTTGTTCATGGCACTTCATAATTTTATCATTTCATTTTATTTTCAGTTGATATCTGGTCAGTGGGTTGCATCATGGGAGAGCTGGTGAAAGGTTGTGTGATTTTCCAAGGCACTGACCGTATCCTTCCCGGGACCTTCCCGGCCATGCTTTCCATAAATGCCAAAGACAGCAGGAGCTCGAAAGGAAAATGTTGTAATTCTAGACTGTGTGTCCCAAGGGGGTCTTTATTATGTTTGTTAAATAGTGTCACAAACCAAATGGTTCAGTTTTATGTTTTCTTTTTCTCTTGACTACCTGCAATGACTTTACTGAGGTTTAGAGTTACTAACGTTAAACCGATTATATTAGTTCTTAATTTTATCAAAAATAGCTTAGAAATTTATTTACTCTTTGTCAAATGTATTCTGATATTTAAATGAAAACACTAGTTCATTCAGTTAATTTAACAAGGAAGGTTTCTGTCTAAATTTAATAGGCTAGTATTGCTGTGTCATTTTGTTAGCTGTCGGTATGCACTAAAATATTTTCCCCCAAAGTAAGAACTGAAGCACACTACATAAGACCAAAGTAAAAGAGATGGAAAGGAAATGTTTGTGAGGAACAGTATATGTTAATTTTCTTGCCTGTTACTCTGCTGACATTTTGTAGAAATTTTTAAAAGATCCATCTAAAAGGTTCTTTTGTGACATACCTGGAGAAGTCTAAATAAATATAAAATGCAAAAGATTAACTTATACTGTGGTCAGCAAATCACATTAATGACATACAGCATAAAGCAGAAGACAATATAATAGTTAAAATAGCTTTCTTTCATCGTGGTCCTCATATTCTTCCATCTTTAATATTTTTCACTCTAACATATTCCCTTTTTCATTTGTGTTCTAACCACTTACGATTTTCATTAGTCTTTGATTTTGTTTTTTCCTATGAAAGCTTAAAGTGGTCTCTGTTGGCAGATTGATGGTTATTTTTAAAGGAGATCGAGCTGTGTAGTCAGTGTTTTGTATGTATTTTATTAAAGTTATTATAGTTTTTTATAATTTTATGAGGGTGATTTTCTTGTAATACCAATTCTTTACAACACAAACATGGAATGAAAAGATTTTGTTCCTATCATTTTATTTGCCTTCCTTGACATTTTTCACATCACAGATTTTATGTGAAGTTAAATACAGCATTTTATTTTGTTCTAATAAATTTTCTAGCAGTTTTCCATAGCCTTTCCTTTGATTCACTTGTTCCAAACTATAAATAAGGAGGTCTTTATTTTGCAAACAGACTCAGCTTAAAACGGAAAAGTTGATATAGTCTAAAGATAAATAATTTAGAAGGATCTACTTAACATTTCATTTGTCTCAATTCTTATTCATTTTGTGCCTTTCCTTTTTTGAATTAAGAAATGTTTTCTTCAGAAAGTACAAAAACTGTGGATACTTTCTGGTGCATTATGAAGTTAATTTAAAGTTCCTACCTTACATACTAACATCTTGCAATATCGTTAGCTAATAGTTTTATATATAAGGCCACCTGAGGGGCGCCTGGGTGGCTCAGTTGGTTAAGCGACTGCCTTCGGCTCAGGTCATGATCCTGGAGTCCCAGGATCGAGTCCC